TCCTCCTCCTCCTCCTCCTCCTCCTCCTCCTCCTCCTCCTCCTCCTCCACCTCCTCCTCGTTCTCCTTCTCCCCTTCCTCCTCCTCCTCCTCCGCCTCCTCCTCCTCCTCCTCCTCCTCCTCCTCCTCCTCCTCCTCCGGCTCCTCCTCCTCATCCTCCTCGTCCTCGTCCTTGTCATCTGCCTCGTCCTCCTCCTCTTCCGCCTCCTCCGTATAGCACCCAGACCGATATCATAGTTTGCCAATGAGGGTATACACAGGTGGCAATCGGGAAAGATACCCGGTCGCCATCAGGATGTTTGTTTTGGAGGCGAGGTTATTTGGATGCGAGTTCTTCGGCGATGCCTTGGCGGAGCTAAGGCAGCTGTTCGTGCTCCTCGGTTTGTAGGAGCGCTGCGAACTCTATGGCCTTGAGGACTCTAGACACGCAGCAGGATGCAGCAGGCAGGCTACCAGATTTCCCCAGCATCCCCCTGGGGCCCACAAGGACCTCCAGACACTCTTGGTCACCAGATCTCTGACTGCCCCAGGCTCTACGAGGACACGTTAGACGAGGACCCCCACTGGGACCCCAAGCTGGACCCCGTGCATCGTTATCTGCGGGAGAAAGGGATCACTGGGATTGGGCCGAATTATTGGGACAAGTTTGAGACGTGTATCGGCATGCCGTTGGCCCCCCCCCCAGCGCTCCAGAAGGTGCCCAACAAGATGCTTGTGGTGTTCTGGGGGATGGTTGTGTTCTCTGATGGTTCTGGAATGGCCCCCAGCTGGCCAGAGCTCCGTAGACGTGGATGGGGTTGCTGCCAGTTGGGAGACAACGGTATGCCTGTTCGATGAGCCTGGGGCTGTCGTGTCCGATTCAAGCAGTAGGCCGTGCGGAACGCCTGGCACTGCTGCAGGCGCTCAGGCTGCTCCCCAAGGCTTCGCTTGTGGTTGCTGATTTACTTCCGATGGTGGATGAAGGTGCTGCCTGGCACCAAGACCAGGCAGACGGACACGCCACCTATGCAGATCTATGGCGTGGTATATTCACGGAAGTTGGAGATCGACCACCGCCAGAACTTTATTTGATCCCAGCGCACATGTCATTGGAAAAGGCTGTCGATTCCAGGCATCCGTTCGAGTTCCACCCTGGCAACGGATGGGTTGACAGGTTCGCTATTTGGGGGGCTCTCGAGCATGCGCTACTAAACTGTATGGTCCTGAATCATGAGGCGTTCTCGCACGCCAAGCTCCAGGCCAGGTTCTTCGGGTGGGTGGCGGCGAAAATTGCGTATCGTGACGGAGAAAGTGATAGGCCCGCCCGTTCGCACATACCCTCCTCTCAGGGACCCCCTAAGTTGAGTCTCGCGGCCCATGACATGGCCAGTCGTGTTTCAAATGAATGCCGTGTGCAAAAATGTAAACGAGGCCTGAGTGTAGCTAATGCCAGCTTGGCTAAAATGCTAAGCCCCCCATGTGCCCTAACCCCTCAACAATGTTTGATGGGGTCCAGGGACACAGTTTTGATGCATGCTCCTAGTGTTAGATCCCAGGCTGTAGGTGTGGCCCTGCAGTGGGCTGACGGAGTAGATGGCACCTCGGGCTTGGCGAATGGGGGTCCCGCTCATGGCGAATCGTCGGTGCCGCCGCCTGATGCCATCGTCGAGCTACGAGGGCACGAGGTTTTGGTGTCCCACGGTGCCATGATGTGCACCCTGTGTGGCTCCTATCAGACGTCTTTTCAGGCGGCCAACTGTAAACTGGACAAGGACTGCAAAGGGCCCTCCCAGGAACCCCAGGCCACATATAGACAGCGATATAATATCAAAACCATAACGTATGACAAGCACCCCAAGACGGGGAAGTCATTTGGCTAAGTGTATATATAAGCGATGGCCCGTGCTCCAGTCCTCTGCTGCACGACAGGTCATCGGCGTTGCCCTCCTCGTCCTCCTCGTTCCCATCATCCTCGTTCCCATCCTCCTCATCCACAATCCTCCTCCTCCTCCTTCTCCTCCTCCTCCTCCTCCTCCTCTTCCTCCTCCTCCTCCTCCTCCTGCTCCTCCACCTCCACCTCCTCCTCCTCCTCCTCCTCCTGTTCCTCCTCTTCCTCCTCCTCCTCCTCCTCCTCCTCCTCCTCCTCCTCCTCCTCCTCCCTCCTCTCCTCCCCCTCCTCGCAGCTCCTTCTCCGCCTCCTCCTCCTCCTCCTCCTCCTCCTCCTTCTCCTCGTCCACACTCCTCGTCCTCCCCCTCTCCGCTTCCTCCTCCTCCTCCCCACACCTCCTCCTCCTCCTGCTCCTCCTCCGATCGTCCATCGTCCCTTCTCACTCGCCCCTCACCTCGTCCTCGTCTCCTCCCCGCCTCCGCTCCTCCTCCTCCCCATCCCCTCTCATCCTCCATCCAACCTTCCACCTTCTCCTCCTCCTCCTGCTCCTCTCGCTTCCACTCCACCTCCTCCTCCTCTCCTCCGCCTCTTTCCTCCTCTCCACTCTGCTCGTCCCCTCACTCCTCCTCCTCCTCCTCCTCGTCCTTCCTCCTCCTCCTCCTCCTCCTCCACCTCCTCCTCTCCCTCCGTCCCTCGCCTCTTCCTCCCCCCCCACTTTCTCCTCCTCTCCTCATACCCTCCTCGTCGTCCTCGTCCGCGTCCTC